ATAAGGTCGCACTAATTACACACAAAGTGCTTGCCACAAATGAACCACAACAACTTGCTGATCTTCCAAATGAGCATAAACCATCACGCAAACTCCAGTCATCCTCGCAGTGGCTTTTGGCTATCCATCGAACAAACATGGAAATTGCATCGCATGCTTTGAGATGCACTTCTGCGGCTGTCTGGAATGCTCTTCCTTCGGATATTACGAAGCCACTGGAGCTATACACTTTTAAACCTAGATTTTAAACTAATTTTTTTAGAACTGCGTTTCGTGTTTAGTTTGTTGTCCTTCCCCCGCACCTCCGATTAGCACGGTTGGCTACATACGGTGCGAAAGAAGTTCAACATAATACACATATTTATCCACTTGTGTAAATCCATCTGCTTGTGTCTTTTCAACTTCAGTCATGAATGACATCTTCTGTCCGTCAAAGACTTTCATCGCATCTAGAGATAACTCTCTATTTACAATATGAAAAATGTAATTCTGTACTTACAATGGTACGAGGAAGAGTTGGGATGGCCTTATTTTGCTATTGCTAAATTAAGATAAATTATGCTCCAGGTCACCTTAATTCAATGAGGCCCAATTTCAAAAGTAGTATTCTTTTTAACTGGGTGACTACAAACCCCTCCCACCCCCTCGGTATAATGTTGCACGAATTCTCACCTGGTTAAACAAACTCATCTTGCACTTGAGATCTATACAGAAATGTAGGAGTGTACCTATTTAATTACGTATTGATAGCGAAGGGGACGAGTTAGTGCAGTGGTTCGCGAATTGGTGACATAACTTTGATTCCCGACCACGGCTAACATCAGCGATGAGTGGTATCTGAACCAATCCTAGGGCTTCCCCCTTTACCAATACACAAAAAACAAAGCTCCCCTGTATAGCCTTAACAGATTGTTAAGGCAAGTGCTGTTAGCGAGCACCTATTAAGGCCAGAACGGCACACTAGGGGATTGGTGGGCAGCACCACGCCCGACCGCCTTTGTCTCCCTCGTGGCGATGTTTACACACCAGACTAGGTACACATTTGAGGCTGAGTCGACCTCGGGGAGGCCCAGGACCGGTTCAGATAATCCTCACTGGTGTTGACCGTGAGCAGGAATTGAACTCGGGTCGTCGGGTTCATAGCGCAGCGTAGCGCGAACTGCGATACTACCGCTACCCACGGCAAACAAAGATCCCCCATATAGCCTTAACAGACTGTAGGGGCAAGTGCTGTCAGCGAGCACCTATGAAGGCCGGAACGGTACACGAGGGGGTGGGTGGCCAGCACCACGACCGACCGCCTTTGTCTCCCTAGTGGCAATGTTTACACATCGCACCAGGTACTCATTTGAGGCTGAGTCGACCTAGGGGAGGCCCGGGACCAGTTCAAATAATTGTCACTGGTGTTGGCCGTGAGCGGGAATCGAACCCGGGTCGCCAGGTTCATAGCGCAGTGCGCTAACCGCTACACTAACACACACTAACACACACACTAACAACAACCGCCATTCGCCACTAAGTGGCGGTGACGTCAACCCCGACGCTTGTGCCAGGCCATGTGCACCTTGAGGCCACGTGAAGTGTCTAACGCCCGCTGGCAGGAGGTTACGGGGCAGACCCAAGTGCCACGGGTCGACTGGTTGAGATGACCGAGACGACTGGCTGATGCACCACCTGTGCCCCCTACTGTGCCAACTTGCTGTGCTTTAGCCATCCGGCGCTTCGCTCGTTGTTGTGAGCGTCGCTCCTCCGCCCTCTGTTGTTGTTGGAGGGTGACTGCCTCCAACTGCCCAGTAGCAGCGTCCTTCACAAGGCTCCTCCACAGAGGCCGATCTTGAACCCCGCTGGTACCAGTCATCGGCAAGTCCACTCAACTCCACATCCTCCTGTACCACATCACTCCATCTTTTCTCTAGCCCGTGCCGCGGCCGTTTAGCCCCCTCGATCTGGCCGAACAAAAGCTGTTTGGGCATGCGGTGATTGGGCATGCGGGCTACATGGCCCAGCCAACGCAACCTTGCCTGCCGGAGGTGCTCACCGATGGGACTTTGTCCAGATCTTTCGTGGATTTGTGAGCTCCTCACACAATCCAGCCTGGTTAAACCCAGGATTGATCATAGACAGGCCAGCCTAAATGTTTCTAACCGGCGAAGATGTTCCATTAGGGGGGTCCACGTTTCGCAAGCATCGAGAAGGGAGGGAATGACTGTGGCCGAGAAAACCCGAAGCTTCGTGCGAAGCGACAGACCAGGTAGCTTCCACACAGCGTTACGCAACCGATGAAAAGATAATGCCGCTCGACTGATTCGGAGTTAACCGTCTGCTGTTAAACCGGAGCCGGTCATGAGCACACTGCCCAGGCATGGAAAACTCTCCACTCTCTCCCCAACTGCCCCATCACCGATTGGGAGTTGTGGGGGTAGAGTGCCCCATGGTACAAAATACCCAGGCAGGTGCTTCGTTTTGGTGGGGCTGAAGGTAAGGCCCCACCTCGTAGTGGCACACTCCAGTTTCAGCAGCAGCGCCTCCAACTCCTCCTCTGAGTGAGCTGCAATTACCAGGTCGTCGGCATACATAACGTGGTTGACCAATAGGGAACACACACACTAACACACACACTAACCAGCATGTATGGTCAATCTCCATGTCTGACAGCGCATTGAGAGGTATTCATCAAGTAGTGGATTGAGAATGGCTGCAAATTACAACTATTACTTCCAGTATGTCATGATGAAAAGATTCACTGGTCGATGAGTGATTGTTGGAATATACGATCAGTTTGAGTTGCTGAAGGTGGGATAACTAAATCACTCGCCACTGACGTTAGCCATGACCAGGAATGAAACTCAGTTTTCCTGCGTTCAGATAGAAGTGCACTTACTGTCCCCCATGGTATAAAGTGCAATCTCCAACTCGTACCAACTCTGCTTCTCTGGTCTCGCTATGAAGAAGGGTCATTGTCCAGGATGTCGTCTATTACTTTAACGTTTTAAGGGCGCAGTGTTATTGACAAATATGCTGTATTTTGTGCATGTTTACCAGTTTGCCTTCGCTCCATTATATGATCCTGAATATGGGATTACCTTCAATCTGAGCGTCATTTCAGCTACGCTGAAATCCCACATTTAGAATTGATGATTCTATCCCATTGGGAGCATATTTCTCAGTCTCTCACAATCAGCCGTATTATCCAGAAGTCATTTTACTCCAAAATGCACCAAATTCCAATAAGCAAAACCAGATCATGTGATTGGTCCATTCCTATCAAACCTAAATGAAAGCAAAATTCCCCCAATGAAATTGGACGATAGGAAAACATCAGCCGGACTGAATGCATTACTCAAATTGTATGGTATATGTTTTTTTTTTGGATTACGAAATGTAACCCATGTGCGTGATGGGAACCATGACACAAAGAGAAGAAACGTCATTTAGTCGTGATAGTGGTGGCGGTGTGCACCAGTAATTCAGGGCTGTGGAGGCGGCAGCGTTGGTAGATGCTTTGCGACTCCAAGATCCGCTGTGCTCTGAAGGTGCCAGGATGGCAGTCGAGTGAGTGGGAACACGACCACCCATCTGAATGGACGTTTAATGCAATCCCCCCCGTATATGTTGGGTTTATTTGACCTCGGAGAGGCAGTCATCACATACAAATATAATATAGGGCCCTCCTGTAAGCAAAAAATTAAAGTGTTTTCCAACTCAGCTATGCTTACCTATTACATTTATTTTTTAACAACTCCTTACGTTGGCTGTAGGGAAAATCGACAGAGAGGTGACACATTACAGCTTCCCGTGCATCTTCAATCGGCCCATTTTCCCATAACAATAAACGCCACCCATCGCTCATGGTGTGCAGAGACTAGTGTATCGTTTGTCAATCTTTCGACACATCTGCAAAATGATATGCCTCGCACAGGGGTTAGGCAAAAAAAACAACGAGGATTGAAGTTGGCGGGAATGGGGGGGGTGGGGGGTGTTGCGCAGTCATCGATGATGAAGCTGTATGTATGTTGAACTTCTCTCGCACCGTACGTAGCCAATTGTGCTAATCGGAGATGCTGCGGAGGGACAACAAAATAATCACAAAAGACAGTTGTAGAAAAATGAGTTTTCAATCTGGATTCAAAAGTGCATAGCTCCAACGGTTTCCGAATATTGAAAGAGCGTTCCAGACGGTCGCAGAAGTGCACCTGTTCGATGGATAGCCAAAAGCCGCTGCGAGTTCGCATGATGGTTTGTGCTCCTTGACGAGAGACAATCACATGGATTTCCATGACACCCTGCTTTAATCTCGGGCTACTTGCCCTAGATTTGAACCCAGGGTCTCAGCAGTGCTGGCTCATTACCTTCGCATCTGAAATGGCTCCCATAAAACAAAATGCTTCCCGAACAATTGCGCAACGAAATCAAGCACACCATAATCATGTCAAATTGTAAAGTGCCATACGGCATTCGCTCGCTCCTGAAGACACGGAGAATGACTCAAAGAGCACAATGAACCACAGGCGAGCGGCAAGAGGCTGACACACGATTGCCCAAGCTCTGCGGTCCTCTATTTAAGGTGGTATGAGCCAATCAATGAGCGTATACATGTGGGAGCAAACCGGAGAAATCGGAGAAAACCCACACGTGTGAGGGAGCAACACTCTATCCCATTCAGAAGGGACATACAATGTTCGCGTGTACTTTGCTGTACTTCTCCTGGCGAGCCAAGCCACCACCTCGACGCCCACAGGAAGCGAGTTTCGCAGCATCTGTGCGGTCAACCAACCCTCACTTGCCTCCACAGTGCTGGATTGGACATGTACCACCAACCTTGTCGATCGCACATCACAATGCATGTTGAACTTCTTTCGCACCGTATATAGCCAATTGCCATGCAACATTTGCCCACCCAACGGTTTACAGGTTTACTCTCACGCTCCACACTTTCTGCACACCGCCAAGCCCCCCCACCCGCCCCCCCCCCCCCCCCGCGGTTCGAGTGCGACGCTCACCCGTGTCCGTCTCCTTGTGGTTTTTGATGAGCTCGGCGAGCTCGAAGTTCCCGGCCACGATTGCCACCTGGCGATGACAATGGGAAGACGTCAGCGCTCGGCCGCGCGTGGTCCAACATCTATCACTTAGCGCCGTGGCAGAGAGCCGGTTTGCGCTATCGGGGCCGTGGCAGTGAGTGTCGTCTGGCTCTCAGGAAATGGGCCTCAAGGGTGGGCCTGTCACCATCGCGACTCGGAGATAAAGAGTCACGCGCCCGTGCCGACGACGTTCGGCGCACAGCCGTCGAAAAACTCACCAGCGACAGACGTAAACATGAAAATTGCACGATTGAGAGCGACCAATTTGTGCGTTCTTCAAACGCCCATTAATCGTCTCGCGCGAGGCTTTTGTCGTCGCTCACCGTGGAGCGCAACGGGGGTTGGGTTTAAAAAGGGGCCGAGTGTGATCGCCTCTGCAGACGGTGAAGAAACAAGTGAGAGCTTGCGAAAGAGGGGCACTCATGGTGGGCTGTGTGGCTGCGTTGACGACACTGAGCTGAGACTGGCCTCATTTTTTTTAAACATTCAAATTGTCAGACATTTTGAAATTCAAACCAAGTATAAAATTAAACCAGAGCCTAATTGTCTCCCTGCTCATATAGGCATAAGGCAGTGGACTACCCGTGCCAGTCTGTGACCGGGGAGGCCAGTGTCTCTCCCGGAGGATGATCACCCTTGACTTCCCGCATGTGGTATTCTAGGTGAGGGACAATTGTTAGGTTTTTTTTTTTTAACACGAACCATTCTTTAAATGTTTTTTTTTAAACAGAAGGGCGATTGTGACAGGTGAGACAAAATACACAAATGCAACCCTTTTGCGGATGGATAATCTAACAGTCAGGAGCTAAGCTTACCCCCTGAACAAAATGTATAATTGCGTTCCACATTCAATGCAACGTCACTGTGGACTGTTGCCAAGCAGCTGTGAGAATGCAAATTTCGCCCGCACGGGTGATGAAAATAGCAATGACTGAAAATGAGAACAGCAAAAGAGTAACATTTTCCTCCGGAGACTTTCACGACCAATATTATGAGTCATAATTAGGTTAATAATAGGGGTTTTCCCCTGTTTTCTGGCAACAAAACTGAAACCTTTTTACAAGGAATCATGTGTGCATTAACCACAATACTTGCGGTCAAAATGCAAACAACAAACACTCTCTGATAATATAAGAAAATATATTAAAGGGAAAAAACCCTATGATTATATTTTGGTACTGGCAAAGGAGGTCTAATGATGTAGATGATCACCCTTTGATAGTGCATTGTCTTTGAGCTGTACGCCTTTTGGCGTCCTCTGGTCTAGCACCAATTGAGACGAGGCTCAAAAGAAAGCCGTCTCTGGTGTGGAAAATGCATATATTATCAGTGTGTTTTTTACTCATTGGTTTTTTCGGTAAAGTCACGTATGTAGAAATACCATAAAATTATATTAAAATAAATCAATCATGACGTTTCGACCGCAACACAAGCGATCTTCATCTGGTGTAAAAAAACAAATAGCACATAGGGTGACATCAACGCAACACGTAGAAAAATTTACGTGATGCAAAACCAGTCGGCCAACGACACAGTCACTTGCCTGGCAGACCACGAATTTCAGAAGAGTTCTAAATTTCGTGTTCATCCTCTGGGTTGAACATACCAGTATAGACAGAGTGAACAAATACGAGGTACAAGATAGCAGAATACATATACAGGGACACCAAGAGGTAAGAAGAGGAAAGACGGACAGAGAAGCACTTTACCGAAAAAAACAATGAGTAATTTATGCAGTCACGAAAGCTTTAATTCTTTATTAGTATGTTTTTTGTTTGCATTTTGACTGCAGGTATTGTGGTTAATGCAGACATGAATCCTCGTAAAAAGGTTTCAGTTTTGTTGCCAGAAAAAAGGGGAAAAAACATATTCTGATGATAAACCATATTATTATATTTTAGTACTGGCAAAGGAGGTCTAATGATCATAATTAGGTTGTTGGCTGAGGTCTTGTAAAAAAAAGATGTATCGTAAACCCTCATCCACCCAACACAGAACACTCAAGATCTGAGCTGTTAAGCTGATGATGCTAGATGTAAACTCCACGCCCATGTTAATGTTGTCAGATTGTTCTTCACCAACAACACCGATCTGTGCTGCTGAAGCTGGAATAGATTAGGCCACGTTTATTAATTCATATGACACTTTTATCATACGAATCAGAATTTGTATTTATTACTGGAGGAATTCGATGAGTTATAAAGCTATTTTTTCATAGATGTCCTGTAGGGGCGGGTCAGAACGTTACAACAGCAAACAATAAAATAAAATAAAAACACGATGGGAGTGAAAAGTATAGGAGAGGTAAGAACATCACAAAAAAAACATACAAATAAAACGAAACTATTTGTATTTTACCAGGTAAGACCCACTGAGCTATGAGCTTCTTTTTCAGAAGCGACCTGGCCACAAATGGTAGCTCAACGAAGCGGCTCATCACGTGGAAATGTATCGCAGCCAAATAATCTAAATAATCTAAAAGCATAAAATTTTGATTTAAAGCTTTCGTGACTGCAGTGATTCATATTCTTGGTTCTTTCGGTAAAGGCACGTTGAAGGGAAACAATAAAATAATAAAATATATATAAAAAACAATACAATTCTCACGACGTTTCGACTGTAACACAAACAGTCATCATCAGGTGTGAAAATCACACCTGATGAAAACCACACGTGATGAAAACCACACCTGATGATGACTGTTTGTGTTACAGTCGAAACGTCGTGAGAACTTAATTGTTTAATATATATTTTATTGTTTCCCTTCAACGTGACTTTACCGAAAGAACCAAGAATATGAACCTAAAAGCATGTTTCTAGATTAATTGGCTGTTGGGCGGAGGAGGGTTTTACAACACATTTGTTTTGCATGACCTAAACCCAAAACCTCAATTACGAATCAACAAAAGAGTAAAAAAAACTGGATTTTGAGAGACAATGGGCAATTGGATGAGCGGTAGGTGATGCATATCTGTGTCAAGAACCAAACTCTCAAACATCGCTCTTGTTTTGTGTCTCCTGCAGTACGTGGGGATTCTAAATGTGTCCGCCTACAACTGGGAATAACCCATTCCTGCAGAGCGAGGGAAATGTATTTCAAAAAGCCGAGGTGACGAAAAGGAAATGCAGCGCGGGAGGGAAATGTTCAGGAGAGGTCCAAACACAGCAATAATATTAATGAATTTACTTTCACACCTCCCCAACATACACACGCGCACACACAACTATAAAGCAGCCAGAACAATCGATTCGTGAAGCAATGTGGCTTGTAAACAATACATGATAGCAGGCCCTTCAGATTAGAAATGTTCACATCTGGCTGTCTGTGCATTGTGGCGGTGATTTTGCAGGCTGCGGTTGACAGTATATTTTTAAATGCATATATTAATGAAGATAGATCGTAAAAAAAATGACCAAACATGTTTGCGTACCCACGCCGAATATCCTCCGCGTAGCCTTATAGACGATGGCATTAAGTCCTAGTAGCAAGAACCTACTAGGACTGAATGCTGCAAAACACGATGGGGTGGGGTAGATAACATTTTTCATGGCCGCCTTCGTCTCCCCAGTGGTTGCGCTGAGTTGACACCACTTAAATAACCAAAATGATGTTAGGAATGGCCAGAAATCAGACAAGTTCATCTTTCAATGAAATGCAGTGTGACACTCTCATTCTCCAATATATAACAATCAGCCATTGTCTAATCACTGCTTTTATGAAGGCCTCTCTACACTCTCTCGCCATTCCTCATGGACCATAGATGCCTTAATCCAGGAGTCGGCTACCTCTGCCTCCAGAGCTGTGTCTGGCTCTTCAGCGATTGCTTCGTGACGTATTCACATTGCGGCTCTTGAAAGATTGAGATTTTTTTAAACCAAATTCCCCCCAAAAAGTGGCTCTTCTCATTAAAAGTCTTGGTGTAGTTTTGGTGACAGTAGAATATGTGGGAGAGGTTAATGAGGAGTTGGGGTTGGGGTAGTAATAGGGTTTGGGGTAGTGATAATCAATCTCACTCCTAACTGCGGTGGTTATACTCTCAGGTGAATATTCTACTTTTGCAACATACAGCCAAAACAAAGATCCCATTCTAGCCTAAACAGACTGCTGGGGCAAGTGCTGTTAGCGAGAACATACAGTGAAGTAAAAAAGTATTTGATCCCCTGCTGATTTTGTATGTTTGCCCACTGACAAATAAATGATCAGTCTATAATTTTAATGGTAGGCGTATTTGAACAGTGAGAGACAGAATAACAAGAAAAAAATCCAGAAAAACGCATGTCAAAGATGTTATTAGGAGCACACTCTTAAAGGGCTCCCAGGTGTCTTTTATACAGGTAACGAGCTGAGATTAGGAGCACTCCCTTTAAGAGTGTGCTCCTAATCTCAGCTCTGGGAGCCAGAAATCTTTCTGATTGAAAGGGGGTCAAATACTTATTTCCCTCATTAAAATGCAAATAAATTTATAACATTTTTGACATGCGTTTTTCTGGATTTTGTTGTTGTTATTCTGTCTCTCACTGTTCAAATAAACCTACCATTACAATTATAGACTGATCATTTCTTTGTCAGTAGGCAAACGTACAAAATCAGCAGGGGATCAAATACTTTTTTCCCTCACTGTATATACTGTATGCATATATGTTAATCTAAGATATATTACAAAATGAAGATTATCCCTGGTTTGCCACACACACTGTGGCAGCATGTTCTGTTAGCAAATAATTAATGAAACCTGTAAGATAAAACTAAACAAGTTTTTTACATTTTACTAGGTAAGGCTCACTGAGCTACATTGCTATTTTTCAGAAGCTACTTGGCCACAAATTATAGCTCAACAAAGTGGCTTATCACGTGGACATTTATAGCAACCAAATACTATAAATGCACGTTTATAAAGATACGTACGTACAAAAGGAGTTAGGATTATGACTATTTCTGGGCAAAATTCCTTAATTTTCTACCCTTATGCAAGGGTTATCTTCAGTCTC